TGGGTTTTCATTGCCTTTTCCCTTTCAAACATATCTTTTCTAACAGAATGTTCATTAAACTTCAAAACAACAGGAGCACAACAAATCATTATCAATTGAGTGAAAGGATGTCCGATGAAGTATTCTATAGCATAAAATAGATAAAATTCAATATAAAAATTCAGACCATTACATACCACTGTATGAAGATAAAATACAAAAAAACTACTCATCTTAACCAAAACATAACATACAGGCCCCACAACTAAACATGATGGCAAGATCCCAAGAATGAGACATGCACATAGAATGGTAAATATTTTTCCTATGTCACATCATATATTTCCTTACACCTTTTGATCTCGTCCCTGAGATTGAGCATAAAGCTTTTATTAAAAAATGCATTATTAAAAGTATAACGTAAGTCCACCAAAACAATCTGCTCTGTGCAAGAAAAAGCCAAAGGGGCAGGGAATCCATTGCAGATAATGCTTAATCAAGTAACCATGACTAAAAAACATGGGTATCTAACAGTAGTTACTATATTAGAACTAAGAAGTAAACAAACAAATGGAAGAGAAGAAAAATAAAATGGCAAAATGCATAAGGATTACCCAATCAACATGAGATTCAAATGTAGCCGAGCATGTTGCTCTATCTACATCTAGTACCCATCGTTTTAGCCTGCCATCACGGCTCCCAGTGAAGAGATAATCAGACCCATCAGATGCTCCAGAAGAAAGTAGAGCCAGACAATTTATGCCCGCACAGTGCTGCAGAAAAGGGCCAACTTACAAGAAATTCTAGAATGTGCAACCAAGAAATCTATCAAAACTGAAACAATTTCAACCAAAACAAGCAATCTTGATGGAAAAATAATATCCATGCAATAACACCTGTCACTGCAAAATGCTAAGTACCTGGCAGAAAAGAAGCCAAGTACAATATGAACAATAAATGAACCTTCAATTGATTGGAAAGAAAAATATCGTGTAAATAATAAAAAAAAAGGTCAAAATATAAATGGGTCTAAGTCAATGTAAAAAAACAATAATAGTAAAGCTAGGGCAAGCTTCCATCTTGATCTTTGTAAGATCTAGGAACATCCATTTGATCATCCAAAGGTGATTATATTCATTAGATCCTCAAACGAAAGGTTTTAAAATCAAACTTGTGTAAATACTGTTTACTAGGACCCAATTGATGTCAGACAATAACCAAATATTCTCACTAGTGCACAATTTATGGTCACTAATCTTTTGAGGAGAAAATTAGGTTTAAAAACTCTTGCAAGGACCAAAGGGGGAATTCAAGGTATAATTTAAATAATATTTTTCATCTAACCAAGAAATGCATGTGATCATTAAAAACATCCCAATCAAGTTCAACTATTTAACAGATTTGGAAGGATGATATCAAATAACAAATTTTGTAAAGAAAATGATGCAACAACTGGAACCAAGCATAGAAACTGTCCAATTCCCGGTAACAAATAAATAAATAAATAAATAATGAGTTCACCTTAGTGTCGTCAGAATCATTCAACACATAGGTTAATCTCTTCTCCTTGCGAGGTCGAGTTGAATTGTTTCCATTACCAGCACTACCCACCCGGTGCATTGCAGAAACTGACATGTACATAAATCACATAGCTATAGCTTAAATCATAACCCCAGGTCTAAACTGAGAATTTAATTCCAATAAAAGGAATTCTACTTAGGAGCATTTCCAGCTGCATAAATGACAAGATGCAATTTATGGATTTTGACCATTTATTTAACAAAAGGAAGTTTTCTGTGTAGAAAAACTCTTTCAGGTGCACATTTAAATACAGGCACATCCAAACACTTCGACTTCAACAGATAGCCATTAGACATAATCGTATAACGTGGGACCTCCTAGAAACAACCATTTAGAACTCTCTGTAACAGTAGATAATTATTATCAGATATTTTCTGCTATCATATAAGATGGAGCTTAGTCTTCTGAACATCCCAAATATTGATATACTAAAATCTACTAAGAAGGCAATAGTTATAGCTTCGAGAAGCTGTTATGGTTACTAATCTCAGACGTGATTTAGTATTTCTCAAGAGGTTCCCAAACACGCTACGTCATTTCTTACAATAATTCCCAGTCAACCTCAGAATCCAGGCAAAGTTCAAAAGTGTTCTCTCGATACTGTCGGAATCACCAGTCAAAGCATAATCGCGCATCAAACGCGGCGAATACTCAATGCGAATTAAATCAAAACGCTGAGTTGCGTAATCAAAAACCAAACACACACCTAAAAGTCATACCATACGTAAGCTATCGAATGCCCAAATCATGGACACAAATAACGGAAAGGAAAGAAAAAAGAGGAAATAGAAATAGAGAAAACTAAAACATAACCCTACTAGGGCGATCATGAGGTTAAGCACTTCGCAAGAGCTATGAGCTAAAACAGAGTAATTATGAGATGCGATAAATTACTGTATGGAATTGAAAAGAGGAAAAATGGAAGAAAAGGAAATGCAGTTAGGGAGGGAGAAAATGGAAGAGGAACAAACCGTGATGAGTGAGGAATTGCGAGCACTTGGAGTGGTTGTGTTTGTTGCAGTGGCGAGGATTCGTTTCAAGTTTAGAGAGAGAGAAGGGTGAGTTAAAATGGGTGTCCAGATTTATTATTCCGGTAGATCCTTTGACCCGTTTGTGCTTTTTTAATTGAGGGTAGGATGGTCCTTACAGTTCTCTTGTGCCTGTACCATGTTTTAATGTTTTTCATAAAATAAAATAAAGCAGTTACGTCTCGAAACAGATTGTGACCTTTTTTTTCCTTTAAATAACATCTTTTAACAAGTATTTTTTTTATATATAATCTGTAAATAGGAAACCGATTTTTCAAGTGTGTTTTAATTCAAATAAATATTTTTAAATCTTTAATAAGTTTTTAAAAAATAATTAGTTGAAATAATTTTGTATAGTTATTTAAATTTATGTAATTTTTCTAATAAATGTACAAAAAAAATAAGTACACCATTTTTGTTAGTCACTAATAAGTAAAAAGTATTAATTATTTATAAATAAATTGTTGAAAAATACTCAATGAAATTTCGACATTTTTTACTTGTTTGAGATTTCTAATTAGTGACAGAATTTTTTTGTTTATAATAAATAAAAAATATAAATCAGTGATAATTTTTCCAATGTTAATAAATTTAAAACACTAGTTAACAATAAGTCCGTCACTAAAAAACCACTAATTAATGATAGAATATAATTATTATTAAAAAAATTAAAATATAAAGTAATGACAATATTTTTTGTTGCTAATAAATTGGAAAATACAAATTAACGGCAAATTTTTTGGAAAATACTATGTTTCTACAAAATTTGTTCATAACTAATAAATTGTAAAATATTAAATATTGGCAAAAAAATTTACCGTTATATCTTAGAAAGATACACATTGTGACAAATTGTTCGAAAAATATTAAACTCATCCCTAATAAGTTAAAATATATAAATTATTATTATTTTATATGTATATAAATCAAAGCCTATCTTTATGCCTACGTATATGTTTGAGTTTTTAACGTTGAAATCACGTGGCTAATAGTTTTAAATTTATAGATACTTTTTGGTATGTTCCGCAAATCTAGTAACTTGACTCGGTTGATTCCTATATGCGGCAAGTGTAGTTTTTCCCTGTAACCACCAAAGCAATACATAAAAAACACGGTTTTATTCATTATTATTATTATTATTATTATTATTATTATTATTATTATTATTATTATTATTATTATTATTATATATAAAAAATATATGTTTAGTTAGAAAGAGGTACATATTCTTTATTTGATAGATTTCGTTTAGTTTGGATTTATGTATGTATTATTTAAGACAATAAATCTGAGAGTAGAGTTTGATCAATAAAAATGTCTAAAAACATTGGTGAGATTTGTAACGTGTACAATCTTCTAACAATTAATGTTTATTACGAAATCCTTTGAAAATTCGTTAAGTTTATTATATTTCATGTAAGAATCTCTTTTTCTCTTTTTTATCATTATTGTTTTCTTTTATCTCTCTTTCTTATTTTTCTTTCATTTCTCTCTTAAGTGTGTTCTTACACGTAACCTAAAAAAAATATTAATTAAACTTTGAAAAATATTATTCTTCAATATAATTTAAATATATTCAAAGATTTAATTTAAATGATAATATATTTTAATCTGAATATAAATAAAAATCATATTTTAAATTTTAAAATTTGTAAATAATTTATTTATTTGATTAGAGAACATTGTTTGATATGATAAACATTATAAATTTAGTTATTAAATTTCTTTCTAATATTTTTTTCAATATATTAGTGGGGAATGTTAATTTTTCTAACAAGTTCTTGTAAATTTTATTTATTTTCTAAAATTATGCAAATATTATGATTTATTTGATCATACATTAATTTATTAAACGATGTAAAATCAAATTTCAAGTCAAACGTAATTTTTTTAAAATATTTAATTCAATTTAAAATATACTGAATGATTTATTTTATTTAAAATATGATTTTTATATATATTAACTAAATTACATTATTATACAAATTAAATGCATGAATATATTTAAAATTATTTTAAAACACAACTTAAAAAAAAGATTTTGAATTATTTATGAAACAATAATTAAAGGAAAAAAATTTATTATATTTAAAATAATGTTGAGTGTGTTATTATGAAAAAATCACTTCATATTCTAAGCGTAGTAAAATAAAAAGATGAATTGACACTCAATTTTTACCAACATCTTATTAAGATCTTTACAATAATTATTTTTTTATGGAGTGAAATAAATGAATAATAATATAAAAAAATCTAGAGAGATATGTAATGTGATTTATATAGCATTGGAAAAACTTTTATTTGAGAGATATGTAACAAGGAGTAAGGGTGCCAACATTGTTTAGAATACTAGTTCACTGTGGCAGCAGCATTCAAATGAAAAGCTTGGTGAAGAGAAGATGAAGTGAAATATTAACATAAGTACATGCTCTCCATGAGTTGCTCGGGAAGAATTGATAATGGAGGTGCAGCAGAAGATGTGCCTCCACCATGGTTGCCAGAAGCCTTACATTCTTTATCAAACTTCACAAATTTTGTCACCTGTCTAGCCGCCATGCGGGCATAACAAAGGGGAGCAACTGCAATGAATGATAAACAAGAGTAGACCATAATCATACTCATCTTAAACTTTTATATCTATCCAATAAATTATCATTCCTTTAAAAACACAAAACCAGAATCGTCATAGAAATTATGTATACTTCAACCTCTCACAGAAGTGGATCCTAAAATAAATTGTGAACAAGTATAGTTTAGAGAAAACTTTGACACTAGGAAAACTAAATACTTAGCATTATGAAAATTTACCTAACGATACAGCAGCTGTGCTCTTTTGATACCTGTGAAGGTTTAGAAAAATCCATCAGTCAGTATAAAATTCGAAAAGGGTTGCCAAAAATGTTTGTAGAGGAGATATATATTGTTCTGTGAATTTACAAAAAGGCTAATTTAACTTCATGTACTTACATATAAGATAGAGAATGCACTAGTTCCTGCAGTTCATCAGTTGAGAACCCGATTTCATCGTGTAAAACATGGTAGTGAACAGGTCGAGTTGTTCCATGTTGGCGGGTCGTTTCCTGTTGGCAAAGACACGTTCGTGACAGTAGAAAATTAGGAATTGCTAATTTAACTTGAACTCACGATAAATAAACATTACTTTGATCTTCTCCCTAGCTTGAGCACACAAGTAGAAGTCATTGTTTTTTGGGTCACAGACAGTGCTGTCAATTACGGTTCCTACAGACAACAAAATGTAGTGTCTTAGAAATTTAATCCACAGCAGCATTCACTTTTCTTTTCTTTTTCTGTTGAGGTGACAAACCAACTGGAACATCATAATCTTCATCATTGGCGTTGAAGAACCTAGTATGATGATTCTTTTGGGCTATAATCAAAGTGAACTTTGGGTCCCAGTCTCCATCAAGTAATTTGCATGCCTGAAATCCAAGTTCAATTCAATTCATAGAATAGTACAATCAGATTTGATATATAAATTGATAAGAATGAACATATATACCTGTATTATTTGATTTAACTCATCATTTAGTACTCGTTTGAACTGTGATTCGCTCACTCCATCCCTAAAATAACACACATCTATATGGGTGAATGCCTAATTAAGATAAATAAAACATTTGGCTCTGATAATTGAAACAAAAAAATTAACTTGACTAATCCTGAAGAATGAACTAGAACATGATTCAGAAAAAAAAAGAACATTGTCAACTAGAAAAAGATTGATAAGATTCACTAAAGTGGAATAGAGATACTAGCTAGTTTATAGATATGAAGAAAACAATCTAAAGTATAATAGAAATGATGGTAAAGAAAACATATAAAAGATAAAATAAAATAAAAAGTTTGAAATTTCCGAAACTCTATATAGAAAGAAAGGAATGTTGCACATTAACTTAGGCATTCAATGAAAAGCATACATTTTAAAAAGATGTTTTTCTTGACTGAAATCCAGATTATTGGAATTTAATTTAAATGCACCTGAAAATGATAATTTGTTGAGGCTTTATACTCTTTGAACTTTCGAAAAATTCCAACAGTAGCTCCCTACAAATTCAAAAACACAAGATACAGATTGGTAAGTGACATATAGGAAAGGACAAAGACATACAATTTTAATTAACACAACTTAAAAATTTGCCTTAGGAAAACTCCAATGGCTTTGTTAGAAATGGCACCTGATGATACCCTTGTCCTCTGAAGGATGATCAGCCTCATCAGGCATAAACAAAGATTGAATCAACTGATTTTTTGCTGACTGTACACGGAAAGCAGCTCTATAACGCGTAATTTGAGGCCAACATCTTGAGCTCACAACCTAAGTATACAACATGGGTTAAGGTTTCATTCCACTACATGCGACTAAATATATCAGACTTTAACATGATGCTTATAACTAATATCATACCGCAGCAATGGAGGGCACATTTAATCCAACAGGAGATCCATGAGAAACATGCATACCAAGAATTAGGGTGGGTTTAGCAGAAACAATAGGAATTTTCTTCTCATGCTCCATTGACAGATTGGTATTCACCCCGCCAAACTGCATCAAAGCGATAATTTTTTTATGAACATTTTTTGTAAATATTTTTTATTTTATAAAAAGTTTAGTTACAAGAGTTCTCTTTATAAATAAAAAGTATGTAACGTGGTATATATATTACCTTCAGGTTGATTTTCAAGAGTACATTAGTAATGTACTGATGATCAAATTTTTGTTGTGCACTAATACATTGTGTTACGATCCCGCCATCAATAGAAAATTTCTTTTTCCACGGACCTACAAATTAAAAACAATAGGATTTTACAGTAAGTACAACATCGATATATGTCATTAGAAAAACGTTCACTAACAGCAAAAAAAAAGTAGCAAACAAAAACAAAACCAGCTGAACTCGTTGATCTTACCGTAAATATCAGAATTCTTTGTTGGAAGAATACACAACAGAAAACTAGGTTTTCCTGGTAGAGTCTTGTCCAACTTTTTATGCATTTGTTCTATCCTCACATGTGCTGGTTGATTTATAAATCTAGAATTCTCTTCAATTACCTTCCCGTGTAGTAAATTCTTTATGTTCTGCAATAGAAAAATACATTTAGAACATCAATGAAGATTACTGCTATTTGAGGAGTGACTTGGATAATTTTGAAGATAAAAAAAAAGTCAATTCCATTTCTTTTTTATCTTACCTGACAAAAATAATAATAAAAAAAACATATTATGAGGACAAATTTAATCCAACCATTATTAAGTGCATTTATAAAGATAAAAATTTAATTAAGTTGACATACAATTCTTGTGAAATTAAACTTACCATTCCTAGAGCAGCACTAATATTGTCAATGTTTTCTATCAACAGTGTTGTGTCGCACTCACTTGAAAAGCTTACAACGGCCCATTTATCAATTGTCACAGGGGCAAATAGTTGCTGAAAGAAGATAGATGATACCCAAATTGTTAAAAAAAGTCGCCCTAAACATCATTCAACAACATAAACATTAACATAAGATGAATGTTTAAAAAAACACCTTATCAATAAAATTCCAGCGCCCATGGAGGGGAGTGATGCATCTCTGTTGTCCAACTATAAGCTGCAAAAATATATTTTGGCATTAAAAAGTAAGACGTAAATTCATGCAATAAACAAAACAAAGATAAGAAACTGCCCATTTTCCAAAAACTTTTCAAAGAGAACATGTAAAAAAATATATCAACACAACTTCCAAATTGCTCACTTTAACTTGTAACCTTAAACATGTTTTTGTTTTTAAAAATGTAGTTGTGTATTCTTTTTGTCCTTATAAAATAAATTTATATTATTTTTGTTTCAGTCCAATTTGTTTTAAAAGAAACCAAAGCCAATTTTTATTCTTTTTTCTAGAGAAACTAAAAATCGAACAAAAATTGTTTTAAAACAAGACCATATTATTAAACCTAACTTAGATATAAATTAATTTTAATTTTGTAAAAATACTACAATTTGTCTCGTAAATACAAATTCATATAATATAGGTAAACTTGCCTCTGGAGGTTGCAATACACGACCCTCAAGTCTTGTTATGTTATGATCAATGTTAATCTCAAGAGAGCGAAGCATTAATTCGTTATCATATTCGTTGCTTCTTAAGGACTGCAAAAATATTAACAAGCACTTCATACAACATTTTGAGTGTACCAAAAAAATTATTGAAAAAGAGTGTTACTGGGTTACATAAATTTTAAGATTTAAAATCCTCGTACTTTTTCAACCTCAGCTTTCCTGTCTTTGGGACTTTGCCTTGTCTTTTCCACTAGCTGAGCCCTTTGCAAATTTGTCAGTGCCTTGGTGTACCGCTGCAACGGTACCAACTCACACAGCTGCAAAACAAGAATAGAATTATATTATAAAGTTATCCAAAATGGAAAATGATAGGAAAGAAAAACATATTAGAAGAATAAATTATACGAACCATCTCTTAAAATTTTTAAAAAACAATTCTATTCTAAATAAGGAGATTAAAAACAGGTTTTCTCTAAAAAATAAAAACAGTATATAATTTAGCACCTCTATTGGAAAGTAACACGGGCGTTGTGGTTTGTCAACATTGATGCACGGCATATCAGCTGAACTATGCAGGCCAATCATTTTATTGTTTGTAAAGTAGTCATAAACTGTGATTTCATTCTCCTTTTCTTCACCCTTTTGCTTCAAGAGAAATCTGCAATAAATAGATAAGCCCCATCATTTTGCATTGTATAGGGTAAAATGTGCTAATGTATCAAAATTAAGTTCATTCTAATAGAGTGAGTAAATGGAGAAAGCACAAGAAAAGCATACTTCTGATTCCTGCAGGTTTTGTCACTCAGTCCAGTGATTTTGTATTCAACACCATTAACCTTGATTCTTAGGTTCTTAAGCATTCTTTTTGCCTGAACAAAAATAATCATACATTTAACAGCCACAGTTTCATAGTACATGTATGTATGAAACCTCTACTACTAGATATAAAGGCAATAATATAACCTTTGTCCAGTTAATGTTTTTAATGTTCCCAACATTCTGATTCTGGAGAAGGAAGTCCACCACAGGTCCAGGCTTTACAATCATTGTATTCGACACATCTTTAAAGAAAGAACATCAAAAGTAAATAACCATCCATAATAAAAGTAGCATAAATTTCCAAGCATTCCTCTTAAGAATCTTACCAACGTTGAGAGATAATCCTCGTTGTGTGGAACGAAAGCTCGAGCGGAAACCACCGCAGGCTAGCACACCACCACCAATATCCATACAATTTATCTCATTGTTTTGAAAGAAGGAATGGCGAACAAAGAGGCATCCCCTGAAAGGAAAACAGCCAGAGGAGTAATACAATTTAACCCTTCGAGTTAGAGAAATGAAAACAACTGGATCTATAACGTTCGTTTTTATAATACGCACTTAATCATTATCGGTTAACATTTATTAAACTCTATAAAACATTGAGTGAAACTCCTATTTTGTTTTGACATACCTTTCTGCATCATGCTGTCTTAGCACCATGTTTAGAACCCTCAGTGCTTCTTGAAACTTCCCAGAATTCTGACCACTCAATGCATTTGCAATTTCCTGCAATGGAATTTTGGCTACATAGTTGATATCCACAGTGATAACTTTCAACCGAGATCGTGATAGTGTTGTAGCATGCTGTCTCTGAATGTTGTTTGGAACATCATGTGCTTCCGAAGAGTTTCCAGAAGCCTGATCATCCATTGTATTCTCAATAGCTCGCAACGGAATTGTGGTCTCGTAGTTGATATCCGAATTGTGAATTTTTATATTTCCTCCATTAAGACGCTTATCGGGGCTTCCAACCCTGAAAAACAAATAATGATCTTCTGATAAATGCAACACAAAGAACTCGGTATTGTACACACATAATCACAGTACTATTATGATGACAACATGGCTTTTCTTGTTTACCTCCTTGATAAAGTTTGCTTTAACTCAACAGTATATTGTTGCTTCTCACATGGTAGAGGATGAAGAGTGAATAAACTTTGGTCACCGTCATATGCAAAACTAAACTCTGCCAGTTCAGTACATGTTCTCCAAACCTCATCTAGGACTTTTCTCCCTATGCCCTTGGCTTGAACTGATTTCCCATCTTCATTACGCAAGGCAACCTAACCAAACAACTTGCTTAATTGTTTATCATGTTAAATCAGGAAGCATTAATATATGGATATGCTTCACATTCACATGCACATGCAAACACACACAAAAGATATGGTAAAAGGAAAGAAGAAAGGGGAAAAACACATCATAATGGAAGAAGTAGCCTTTGTTCCTCCCCATATCAACTCTAAAATGGTTAGCAAGAAGCTCTATGCTCTTTCCCGTAGATCCAGTTCCTCTCCTCGCCATAGGCAAACGTTTAAAGGCATCCATTTCTCAAATCCTGCTAAAACAGGAAATAAAATAATATTATTAAAATTCTTGTTATGCAAATTAATTTAGGTTCCAGCTGATATCCGCATACTATCACTTGTCTTACACACAATGATTCAGCTACTCTGCTTCTACCAGAAACAGTCTTAAGTAATAACATAGAAAATCACCACTGGAGATGCTGTTAATTTCATGTCTAAGGTATATCTCATTAAATAACATAAAATTCTAAAACAAGATATTAAATATTATAGAAATAAATGCACAAACTGCATTTTCCTAATAACATATCAATTGCCACAGGAAACAAAAGGCATTGCCGTGGTCCTGTCCAAGCAAATTGAATTTGAGAGCATCTTCAATAATTAATTAGTAAATATATAAAAAAGGACCTAAAGGCAGAACTGAAGAATCAATTAAAAATAAAATAATTTGTACGGAATCATTAACATCGAGAAAATCAAATCAAATATTCTAAAATAAGAAACTCTTTATTTGCTACAATCGCTAATTAAGAAACGAATGAAAATCTACGCAAGAAAAGGAAACTTATAGATTGATTAAAGATGTATCCGAAAAACTATGATTCAACAAGTTAAAACCATTCTCAAAAATGTAATCGACAAAGGTAAAAATAATATCTATGTTTATGTTGTTCATCAGAGGAGAAGAGTAATACAAAGGAAACAAAAATAGTATGAACGAAAATCAGAGCAAAACAATTCGGAAATAAGAAAAGGAAAGAAGCAATAGAAGAACTACGGTTGAAGTGCAGAGTATGAAACAGAAATGAAACACACTGTGACGAGTGAGTGTTAGTGTCTCTCTCTTTCACTCTTACAAAACAAGAGTAATTGAAGTGCAGAGAGAATGAATGAAGAATTAGAGTTGAAATTTCATAACTCTTCAACTTACAAGAGTGTTGATCGAAGAGACAACGAAACAGAAACGGAAACAGAAAAGAGAAAGCAAGTGGAGTGTAGTGTGTGAGTGAGAGTGCTTGGGGTCTCAATATATATAGTGTCGTGTGCGTGTGTTTGTGAGGCACTGTTTCTTTCTCGTGTCGTTTGTATCCAATGCCAAGGCGCTTCATTTACCTTCCAACCAATCATGAGGTGCCACTTAATTTATATTTTTCTAATAATGTTTTAATGTTTTCTCAAAATTGCTGTTCTCGTATTAACAATTAGAGGTAAAAAATATCTTAATTTCATTTTATTTTAATTCAATTAATTAAATTATTTTTTGAATCTGCCTTAGATAACTGGTTCCATATTTTTACACCACCATTAAAATTATTTTTATCACATATAACCTATAACTACTCCAAATGCTATTGGGAAACTGATGTCAATATTAAAGTTTAGAAGAAAAATAACCGTCAAAAAATTAACAATTAGTCACATCTTATTTCTTTTAATTTAGTTCCAAAAAAGTTAAATTAAAAATTTGGATAGATTAATAAATTATATTTTTTATAAATTTAACAACTTTTTATTTGAGTTTCTATAATAAAATTATTTTGTTTTTGTCACGTTTATGTTTCGCGGGAGGTTGAATGACCATTAAGATATTCTCTACAGATGAGATTTTGAGTTATGTTAAATTAAAAAACAATAATTGAAAATTTTAGTGCATTATTAGTTATTATTTATTAGGGAAAAAATCACTTCTTTTTTCGCGCATCCGTATAACAACTTCTTGTTATTTTTCTTTTCATAACATCAGTTTATGTTTATTATAATAATAAAATAAGTTATGCCGAGAATGTTTTGTCTCAGCCTGTTGTCGATATCAGCTTTCTCTACTAGGTAACGTATCAGGAAAAATTTATTGACAACCCGGATACTAATATTACTTATTAAATTAATATAATATTAAAATTATTATTGTATTAATGTTTTGGGTTATTATGTAATGTCAAAATATCCTAACTCTTTAATCATAAATATAAATATATATATATATATATATATATATATATATCCTTTTAATATAATATGTAAAATAATTTATAATAAAGTTTGTTATTTAGATAAAAAGTTTTGAAAATAATTAAAAAATTTGTAATTAAGAAGAATATTTTAATTATTTACAATAATAAATTAATTTTACTTAAAAAATAAAAATAAAATTTTTTTTATCATATTTATATTTTTTGTTTGATTTCTTTCAGATATTTTTCGACTCATTCTGAATGATTTTCCTAACGAAGCTTAACTCAAATAAAAATAACATAACTCAGTCCAATTTAATCATTTCTTAATTTAATTTGGTTCAATCTTATATGTTTTGACTTACTTAAACAATCTCAACTTAATCATTTTTAATATGGTTCATTTTATATTGGTTTAAAATCAATTTATCTTAATTCAATCCAACCCATTTTGTATTTAAAAATTTCACCTTTAACTGGCGTGGGTTTTTTCCATTTTTTTTACTGAAATCGGTCAAAAAAATGAAATCAAATCACACCATAAGACTTGTCTTAATTTGATTCAATAAGCGTCATCTAACATATATCAACTTGACTTATTTTTATATGATTTCTCCTGATCGAAATAATATAATTATTAATATTTATTTAGACAGTAGGACTTTTACACAAATTTATATATAGACTCTAAATTCTAACAGGACTCTTTTGTTTAAAAAAACTTAAATCGTGTTATAAAGTAATACTTATTCACGTAGTACATCTAGAATCTAATTGATAATAGAACTCTACCGTCCATAATTTTTTTTTAAATTTACTTGAAAAAAAATTACCTTAAAAAAAAGCAAATATATGTACATAAACCAAGCTGACATGAGAATCACGTAGACCTTGGAGACCTAAGGTTGGTTTTGGTGGCTAAGCATAGCATTAAACTCTTTGGCAAACCTCTCCATGGCTTCAGCAGGTAACCAAATCGGAAATACTATGCATTCTTCTCCTTTTTCATTCTTAACTGGATTGAAAAATGTTACTCCTGGAAACTCCCCTGCCCCACCTTGGGCCACTCCACCATACACAGCCTCACCCCAACCAAAGTCCACTTCTCTAAGCTTCGCACGAGTCAAATCTGATACAATACAAGACCCTACAGTTGTGAATAAGCATCGTCCCTTCGTCACCATCAAATCTGCCACAGAATGCATGTACTCTTCTGTTACCTCACCTTTCACTTTATTTATCAACTCCACCGCATACCCAAATGGATTTCCGCAAAGCTTCCCTGCTTTGGTGATCGCCGCCGGATATGCAAAACCATTGCCGTAGTAACCAACAGGTAAAGGAGGATTGAACCTAGCACGTGCGTTCACTATCACCATCATGCGAACATCCTCATCTGCTTCTATCTGCAATGCTTTTGTGCGACAGCGCCAGAAGCATGCTGTGATCATATCAAATGTGGAGCAATGCTGAAGGTGTTGGGGAATCAAGCCGCGAAGTGCAGCTATATCGACAGGACCAAAGAAGAATGATCGGTGAACCAAGTTGTGGTGGGAAGAAGTGAGGGTATCTTGGATTTGCTCATATTCATTATGCTTGCATGTTATGCGAGGTGGATCTCTTGCCATCAGAAGCTCCCTACGCCACACTGGTGCAATCGAAGGTTTGCTTGCACCTCGAGCCATCTCGGCCCAGGCGTTCAGGAATAGTGAAAGACCATGTCCATCACTCATGGTGTGGTTCAGGCGGATGGCTAATATGAAACCACCGCACTTGAGTCGTGTGACCTGCATTTTCATTCCGACAACCTCAATAAATTCACAAATTCTACTTTCCACCCTTCTTTTCTAAAGTCAACTAACACGAATACTAAGTGAAAGGAAATTCTGTAAAATATGATGAGTAAATGTAAAGAAAAACAGAAAGATATATAAATTTTGAAGTGGTAGCGTAGAAATTTATGTACTAATATTATCCTAAAATGTTATTTGAAGTATCAAAACCCAATCTCGTTGGAAAATTATGGGTTTGAATAATTTAATAAAATAAAAATAAAATATAGTAAAAAGGATTAAATAAAAAAAGTTTTTATTTAATTTGAAAAAAAAAAAAAGATATTTTTACTTTTAAATAAAATAAAAAAATATATTCTCGTACTCTGAGTTTTCATTTTCTCTCCTTCTCATCGGTCATGATGTATTTTTTATGTACCTTAACTCACTTAGTCACTTTTTTTCATATATTTTCTCTTTTTTTCGAATTTCTTCATATCTTCTCTAGTTTTTTTTTTTTTGCCCTCCCTGTATAAAAAGCTACAGAAGCAAAAATAGGAATTCAAAAAAAAAAAAAAAAAAAAAGATCAGGGACCTTCACAAATTTTGAGCAGTCCCGCCAAGAAAAGAAGGAGTGACATAAATATTTTTCTATTTTGCTTCTCTTAAATTTTGTTTGTTTTTTTTTACTTTTATTTTATATTTTTTAATAAATATATTTTGAAACACAAGTATGATTATATGCGTCATTCTTATATTTTGTAACTTTCTTACAAAAAGTAAAAATATATATTTCTTTTAAAAATATATTAAACCAACTCACAATAATAATCCTAATTTTCCCAACATTTTTAAAATTAAAAAAAGAAAATGAATCAAACATGTACTGCGATTGAACCTGTACGAGTAGAAGAGGAGTGTTGGTAAGTTGTTGCGTGGCAGGAACATCATAGAGCAGTTCATGGAAGCATGGGAATGGAGGTTGGAGGAAATCACCGAATTGATCAAGTGTGACGTCAGCATGAGCCTGGATGAACATGGCACCCTCTCCGGTACAATCCACCATCAACTTGCGGTGAGGCCCCTCCCTCAGCCTCCCTGCAAATGGGTAATAGAAGACAAGTGTTTGTGACAGTGCTTGCCGAAGCACTTCAACCGGGTCTCTCTCTCCCATTGATGCTTGCTTTCGATAAATTTGTACGATCGGAATCTGGAAACGCAGGCCATCTTGATCATCTATGTCGGATAGTACCTTCGTTTCATGAGGA